TATGAAACGAATAAAATAAGATTTACAATTTTTTTATTTGTCGCGATAAATTCCGGATATTTATGTCGCGGACTGTAAATCGACCCCGGTTAGAATAATAACGTTGGAGACGGTCCAAGAAAAAATAATGATTTCCTATTTTAATCATAGATAATATATGGATGAAATTTAATCTATTCAGTTATGTGTTTAATAGTTTAAGAAATATTTTGGAGTAATAATTTATTTCAATTATCAATCTATTTAGAAAATGCCGCTTTAAAAATATTATCGATCACTCTTGCGACAAAGAACTTTTGGATGGAAAATGTAAAAATTTCCATTTCCTCGATGTTAAATTCAGAAATATCTAAAATTCTACTTTCATAATACTTTTGTTGACATATACCTTTCTTATTATTAACAACCAAATCGCTATAACCAAAATTCAAGAAATGATTATAACAATTCGATTCATGTATTGCCTTTGCGCTATTTTCAACTCGACTAATCTTAACGTTTTTTAAATCATTACTGTTGCCCATAGAAAAAATAAAGCATTCACTATTATTAACCCAATAATTAGTAGGTTTATGAGTGTCATCCAAAATACTGTTGCTATTACTCCTATAAGTATTACCCCAAATATTATTATTATTACTCCTAGAAGTATTGCTATTATTATCTCTATAAGTATTATTGTTATTATAGTCGTTACTCCTTTTAGGAGGATTAACGTCCGATTCATAAACTTTCCAACCAAGAGGATTATAACCACCAATCACAGTCCCGTCGGCAATTTTAATAATCAAAATACACCCAGTCTGTCCATAACATTTCTTTCGTATAGCATTGATATCAAAGCCGTCTTTATTTCCACGATAAATTAGATTCATATTATATCTATGGTCCTTTGGAATTATTGCATTGGCATGTTTTCTTTGAATCCAATTAGCAAGGATGGCCGCATGTTTTGGTGTAATAATTTTTGAATTAACAGCAATCCTTCCATAACGAGGAGGCAAAATATCTCTAGGTCGATCATTTGTCATATAGAAGGATAAAACACTTTCAAAGAGTTCTTCAGGTAACAATTTTTTATAAGGTCGAACCTGATTATGAAAATCTTTTGAAGAAATTTCGAAGAATCGAATGTAAGGGATAAATGGGCTCAAAATATCCTTCAAAGTCAAGAAGTCCTCATCATCCCAACTACTTAAATCGCCAAAGCACAATTCCGAATGAGATGATTCCATAAATCAATTTCATCAATTTGTAAATCTCCTTTAACCAAACCAAGTAAAACACTTTTTTCTAAAGTTGGAAATTCTGGCAAATTAAAAAATGGTATAGGATCATCATAAATACATCCTAAACAATAATATTGGAGCTTTTTGCAATTTTCCAGTTGGAATAATTTTTGATGAATTCTGACTAAATTTCGTTGTAGCCATCCATTTTGTTCTTTAATTAAATGCTTTTCTATAAAATCAGTCAATCTCTCAAGAAGTAATTCATCAGACGCTACAAGAAGATTAAAAACGTCCAAGGGAGATGATCTTCTCACATCAAGAATGCCAGTATATATATATCTAAAGAAAAAATAAGGAAGAAAATTTATAACTCGTTTTATTAATTATTATTTTTTTTTAAAAAAAAGTACAACCTCAGTTACAAACTTCTTTTAATTGCTAATACATCATGCGCCTTTTCAAATTATAAGAAAAAATATCAATATACTTAATAATCATTTCAAAGACGGTAGGAGAAATATTCGGTTTTTTAAATTCAATCATACGATTTTTCTCTATAGTCCAATACTGAGAGAGAGCTCTTTTAAAGTAAGGTGATCGAGCTCTCAAGATAACAGAGTGAGCTCGAAATTCTTTTGTATACGGAATCTCTCCTACTATAATTTTAACATTATAATCATCTGCATCATCAAACAAATGAGAAAAGTTTTGAGAAAATTCAGATAAAAATTCAAAGGTCATTTTTATTTTTAAATAAAATTTCAATGCAAAAAAATTTATTTTTTTTTTCTTTTGATTTTTTTTTTTTCATGAAGGTATTTATATGTAAACGAATTTTTGAGAAATTGTTATTGTCTGATATAAATGGGAGATTGTGACGTAGTACTGTTTATAATCGAAAAATGTTTTTGTTCGGTAAGTTCTTTACTTTATTTATCGGTGTAACCTATCCACCTTTTCAAAATCGAGAAAGATATCAATGGATTTTGTGCAATGTTATTTATAATTATTCAAGTTACTTGGTATATGTTTCGTGCTATAACTTTTTGGCAAAAGAATTAAGTAATAGAAAATTAAAATTTGATGATGATGTAATTAATGATTAATCGATTAAAGACTCGAAAATTTCTCGGGCTTCGCAAGGATTTCATTCAACGATCTCACAATATAGTCCCCATGATGAGCAGTTGGTTTAATAATATCTTGTAAAAGGTTTACTGGTAAAAAGAATCAACAACACGAGGAAAGATATATCAGTTACACGATTTCTCATCAGTTACATGTATTTTAATAATACAAACTAATCTGATAAACAAAGTCTAATTCATAATTGCGTAACATATATAAACCTTCAAAGAAAAAAAAAAATTTTTTTTTTCACAAAAAAATAATAATAATTACTTTTTCAAGTCTCACTAGAAAAGAAAAAACTCAATATGAAAGTTATATTGTCATCCGTCTATTTTATTTTCTTGACTCTTGTTGTACCTTTTATGTGCGTTTTTGGAGGTTTGGCAGAAGCACAAGCTCCAACGGATACATTTGTTACTATCACGTATGTTCCCACGGCTACGCTTACCATGACTTCAACAACTTCTTCAAGTGATGTTGGTAAGATTAACAAAGAAATTTATCTTCAAAACAGGCGAAAGAATTTTATTTTGTTATTGTTTTTCAAGGGAGTCAAATGAATATTCAAAAACATTATTAATCATTTTCTTTTGTGTCTTATATTTCTTTCTCCATTTACTGCCTACATCACATCATCTCGAATCGTTTCGCCAACTTATACAGATACCTTTACGCGAACTTCTTCTACTCAAACTCATATTGTAACTAGTCCAACCACCACAACTTCTGGTAAACCTACTCAAACTGCTGGTGCTTCAATCATGAAGTGGGATGTTGATAAAGCAGCCCTTGGTGCTGCTTGTGGCGTCGCCGCTTTTTTCATTGCTATGGCTTAATATTTATAGCTGGGCAAGTTTAATGTTTAGTTGGAGAAATAACCGTGAAATCTTTTTTTCCTGTTCTTCCAATTAAAAGGTCTTCATTTTAATATAATCTTTAGATCGTTAATTCTTTTTATCTACGGATTAACGTTTATCATGTAATGCAACCATTTGCTTAAATAAATTCAAATAATTTTTATTTACTGCGGCAAACCTCCAAAGTTGCTTAATTTATTGGTGGTTATGGAATTTCATCATGATGCCGATTTTTATTACTGCGGTATTATAAAATTGAATTGATATATAGTTTCGGCAATAGTTTATTAAGCTAATTAAGCTTCTAATCTCCATACTTTCTATATTTACTTTGAATAAAAATATTACTAACTATTCATGTGAGTTGTTGAAACAAGATGTGAAATTCTAAAAAGAAAAAAAAAAAAAAAAAAAAAAACGAATAATAGGGTAGGGTATGAATTTTTTTTTTATTAAACTTCATTAAATTCAAATCGTTAAAAAAAAAAAAAATATATATATTATCTACATAATTAAAAAAAAAAAAATTAATTAAATTATACACTTAAATTACTGAAAAAATTCTAACTTTTTTATCTAAGGTTTTAATAAAGTAATTTTTTTTTTTTTTTTTTTTAAGAGATTCTACTATCCCTTTTCGCTTTACCCATTCCCGCTTTAATTATTTTCCTAATACTTCCAGTACTTGAAGTACTTGAATTACTGGAAGAGCTAACGGATCGATTTCTCCCAATTGTCTTTGTCTTTGCTTTTGCTTTTCCACTCGAAGAGATGGTTTCTGATCTTAACCTTTCAAACACACTATTAGCTCCAACATCTGCAATACTATTGGATCTCGTTCTGCTTCCCAAAAGGCTACTTCTCACACTGTTCGTTGAATTCACTTTACCATTTCCAATACTTGCGGTATTACTATTTGAACGACTTTTTGTGGCATTATTTTTCACCACACTATTCCTAGCGCTATTTGTTACATCACCCACGACTCCCTTAACCCCTCCGCTCCTACTTCTCACCGCAATATTTTCCAAGTTATTGGGTTGCGTAGGAAATGATTTCTTAATCGTGGAGGTGGAAGAACTTGCGGTTTCATTATCACCTCCACTCCTGGGAACGATAGGTGAACCATGATAAGATCTCGTGGTAACTTGTGAAAGAGTTTTAGACGTTCGTGACGGTTGTGATGATTTCGAAACTCTTCGTGTCGATGAGGGAGGGTTACTGTTTTCATTAGCCGTTGTTGCAAATTTTACAAGACTAGGTGAAAAAACTCTTGCTTGTGAAGTTTTTGTGGTTCCAAGACTTGATTTTTGTTGTGATGAAACCTCTGTTGGGATACTTTTTTGAGAAATTGATTTTTGTTGTTGTCTCCTAGATTCTTCTCGTCTCTTTTGAAACGTTTCCCCAGCTTTTGTGATGGTAGGATTTTGTGATGGTGAACGTGCAATTGAAGGTATAGATCTTTCTCGTGAATCTTGCTGTGTGGGTAGGTCTTGATACATAAAAGGAGCAACTTTTCTTGTATCCAAATTCGTAACCTTATTAATCGTTTCATCATCGGATGAAGGAAGCGTGACCGAATTCACGGTGGCAGATGAACTTAAAGAAGTTGTGGAAGTTGTACCCCTAATAATTGTAGTGGAATTAATAGACGTTACGGAAGGCCTTCTTGGAGACTTTTTCGGTGGGGTAGGTCTCATGGAAGAATATAGTAAAGAACCATCCGAAATTTTCCTTGGTATAGGTGAAATTATGGAATCATTTATAAAATGAGATCGATTTAACGGTGAATGAACCGGGGGGGAATGAGGTAAATGACTCGTATGCTCATTATCATAAACACTTTTAACATTATCAAAACTGTTATTTCTCGGTAATAATGGTGAAGAGGGATATTTTAATTTTGATTGTTTGACGTATGAAGTGGGAGATTGCGTGATGGGATTTAACGCCGTCGAAGGGGGAATTATTATCTGATGTTGCGGTAATGGTGGAGGCGGTGGTGGGGAATTTGGAGGAATTGAAGGAACCGAAGGATGATAAGGGGGAGAAAGTGGAGGAGAAAGTGGAAGAGTAGTAGAATTTAATCCTCTTTCATGATATGGCTGCATTGGGGGAGGTAAATCTTCATGTATTTCCACAAGATAACTGTTAGAATCCATTTGAGAATTTGTCTGTTGCGAAGATATTTGAGTAGACCATTGACTTTGACTTTGACTATCATCAACATTTAATGATCTCATCCATTGTGGATTTGGAGGCATTAAATTATTACTTAATGTCCCTTTTGTGTTCGCTGAAGATGAAGTGGTCACTTTTGCTATTGTAAGCGCATCACTTAAGGTACTTGTGGATGGATAAAAGATTAAGATCAGAGTAATGTATACGATCCAAAGTGAAAAATTTACATGACATAATATAAGGTCGGATGCGAATTTATGCGAGATAAGATACTTCGAGGAGGTTAAACCATCAATACAGAGAATCATGAATGCGGTCGATCCGATCAAAAGACCCCACGTTAAGTATCTATTCATATCTCTAAAATATTCCAACTTTAATACAATGTTAACATGGGGCGTCTTTGCATTTTTCGTCACGTGTAATAAATTTGTGAATCTACTATGAGATCTTATTCCCAACATTGCGATTAAAAACATGAATATTGCGTAGACCAATTGAGGGATGATTTCGGTGTAAAACGTATCGTCTCGATAAATGAATTGTAATAAAGGGAAAATGAGTGCACTAAATATTGAATATACAATGTATGATTTGAATTCGAAACTACCCATAAAGGAAGTCTTCGCCAAATTGTTGGCGAGATAGTTCCAAAATGATTGAAGCAAAAACAACAAGCAACTGCGGTGAGAAAAAAAAGGTTAGTTATACTCGGAATAATATCAAAGAAGATTTTGTTCATGATTTTTTTTTTTTTAGTCATACGTACGTCTGTAAGCTAAAGTTTGCGCAGAGGATATAGTTTGTAGGCACCACCAAGTCATCGTTGCTCTTGCTCCAAAATTGATGAGGCTTCGAAATAATTTCGCCGTTTAATGGATTAACCCAAAAACCTTCATGATATTTTACGTTCGATATCGTGATATCATAAAAAGCTTGTAACGGGCACATAATCACCAGTAAGATTGTGATTACCGATTTCTGCAATTGATTCAAAGATATGTTATCACGTGATATGGCAACTCTCGAGGATTTCTGCGGCATCCGCAGTTAGAAATGCGCGTTTTTTTTTTTTTTTTGTTTTTTTTCGAACTTACTTACCAATTCGTATTTTTTAACACGTTTCCACCTTAATGCATCGAATCTATCAATATTCCACACATGTTGTAAGAACCAAATGAAGGTCCACGAGACGAACACCGCACGAGCTATCGATATCAATATAAATTTATTAGTTTCATTCACCCGTGAAAGGAAAGAAAAAAAAAATATTTGTACATACTTAAATATGTTAGGTCGCTTGAATGTGTCATATGCTATTTTTATTGTATTTACAAATTTTTTCAAGAAAATATTCTTTCAACTTTTTTACTTTTTTTTGACGCTCTTAATGTATTATTTAAAGTATTGAGACAAAGTGTAAAAAAGGAAACGAATAAAAAAACTCGAATGGAGCTATTGTGTATATTATATTGTGTTAAAGGAAGTTGATGAAAGTAGAAGCGGTAAGTCTCGGTAAAATCGTTAATCGTTTTGGGCTGAGGTTGGTATTATATAACCAATCAATGATATTTTTTAATGTGAGGAAAGGAAATAGTAAGGGAAAAAGCGTCCTAAAGTCAAAAGAAATATATGTGTGATGTGTGTGTATATATATAATTACAAAGGAGAGATGAAAGGATAATTCTTTTTTTTTTGTGCAAAATTAAATATTTACAAATGTATGTAGATAATGGACAAATGAAAAAACAAAATCAATTAACATTAATTGTGCCGTTTGTTCCTCGATTAAGTTAATTATAAATTTCCTCTTGAGCGACAAGTTTAGTTATGTGGGAATCTTATTGATAGACGGGGACGTGAAGAAAATGAGCAACCTACATAGGGAACAATAATTAATCAACATTGACCTATACGTCACCCATGCTTAAGCAGCTAATTTATACTTACTTTAAAAACTCAATTTCTCTAGTTATTCCATGTAAAAAATCGGATGTGATAAATTTATTGAAGAGAATGTAAAAGAAAAAAAAAAAAGCGTTTCAAACACTTTTTTTTTAGTTCTCTTTTATATAATTTTTTTTTTTGTTTTAAATGACCTAATCTCTTAGGTCTTAAAACCGCCACTATATTTAATCGAGAACAAACCAGGCGTCGCTTCTTTTATATAATTTTTTTTTTTATATCATAAAAGAATTCTAGAATAGTTAATAAATTATATTATACATTTAGCCTTTTGAGGCAAAGATGTGCATTATGTTGTTCGGCCGAAATTAGCAATGAAAACATTTTTTCACCTCCCCATTGAATTAACTCTTACTTAAAAACAATGTCATAACCCAAATATATTATATATTATAATGTAAACCCTTTGAATAAGTAGATCGTCTTGACCTTATTAAGATTTAAAGGAAACCTTTCTAAAATATTTAATTAAATTAATTAAATGACAGGGATATTTTCATTCATTAATTTTTTAGTTTAGGATGTCTGACCCCTTATTCATGATATCGCACATTGTTCAAAGTTTATTCACTATCTTTTGTGGGGTTCCCGATTACGTCTGTCTCTCTATTCAGTTCTTGAAAAAAAAAAAAAAAATTTTTTTTTTTTTGTTTTTTGAATTATTATGGATTTGAAGGCTTTTTCATTAAAATACTTAAAAAGCCCACTTATTGATTTATTATTGATGAAGGAATATCAATTGCGTGATCTATTTAATGATTTCATGAAACATATTCGGTCGAATATGTCTCGTTTGGTCGTACGGTATCACGTTATGCATCAATTAACACAAAAAAAACAATGACTTCTATATATAGATTTGAAGGTTGGTCGATTCTCTCCAAATATAGACTTGCAAAGAAATCTTTCGATCGGGATAACACGTAATATTCCAATTACCTCTCTTCTGATTCGCTATCTATCAAATGTTTTGTGAATCATATGTTTCCCTGTTCATTATTAATATCAAATGCAAATGATCTTTAGAAAAGCCAATTGGTTTGATTATATCGCGGAGATAATTTACTAAATTCAACCCTCTAATAAGATAACAATTTTTCGGTATTCCCCGACAGCTGACTTTTTAACTCTAAATGATAATAAATATATATACGGATTTCCTGTTTTTTTAAAAAAAAAATTTTTTTATTTATTTATTTTTTTTTTTAAAAAAAAATTAACCCGATAATAGGCAAAGAAAATCATTAAAGGTAAATGTTTATTATAAAAGCCTATCATTAGTATTAATAAATGAAAAATTTTTCCTATAGGTTTGTTTATTGAAAATGTATAGTCTATTCCAATATTTTAAATGGTTAATTAATAACTATACATAACAAATCGCGAATACAGAACGGATTTTTAAAATCTAAATTGTTTTCAAAAATATTGCTTTACATTTACTGTATATATAAGCTTAAAGATTAATGATCCATATATATCGATATATAATTGATTAAATTAACCAATTAAAAAAATGATGATTATTTAAATCAAAATATTAATTATAATCTCAATTATATTTTATTGACATTTAAAAATATATAAAATTTTGTTGAAAATGTACTATTCTTTTTAAATTATAATAACATATAATTAAAAAAATTTTATTTAATAATAACGTAATAATAATTAGTCCAGAACAAGTAAAAGACTATATATGTTTTAGCCCCGATGTCCGCCCACTCAATAATTAAATCGATGCTGATTGGCTTTTGCAATTGCACAAAGTCTAGATAAAACTAGTTAAGATTGTTCTGACTTAACAGTCTTACCTCAATCTTACAATTAGTTGTTAACTAATAAATAATTTAGTTTTACGCTTGGTCCTGGCTAGATAACTTAAATCAAGAAAAATGGACGAGAAAGCTGATAAGAGAGTTCATAAAACATTTCAGGTATTTTTAATCTTGCATTATTTTGAAATAGTAGGTATAGCTAGCAAACATTTTTATGTAGGAATCCAAGACAGGGAAATCCAATATATGTTCCATTTAGTATCAAGAGGAAATTAGTAAAACTGTCTCATTATCTATCAATTTCAAATAGGATGTGGTAGCCTTATTTTTGGACAATCTATATCATAAAAATGAAGGATTTCGAGGAAATGGAACTTCAAGATCAGAAAAAATTCTTTTCAAAATGCTAATTGTCTTGGTCAACAAAATTACAATGATGAATATGAAAAGTTCGCATCGCTCATCAACAGTAAATATAATGATTTTAATGGGAAAGATGAAGATTATAAAATTTATTTCAGGATATCAGTTCATACGTCACAAAAGATCAATAATTCAGTAGCACTATTGAGGGTAAAATCTATGCCGATTCTACAATGGTATCATTCAAATCTTGCCTGAATAGGAATACAATCCAATTTTCGCTACTTTTCTTTGAAAAACTGTACTAAATCAGTACCTTGGTAAGTCAAGCATAAACGAAAGAAGAATTAAAGACATTGTGTCATTTTATAGTTCCAGACATCCAATCTATTGAATAAAGAGTTTTGGAAACTATGTCTTTAATTCTGAAGAGTGAAGAGCAGGATGAACCTCAAGAAGGTTGCAATAAATCTAAAATCTCCACTTATTATAGTCGAAATTATTGCAAATAAATCAGATTATAAATGTATTGCAAATTCTTTTAACTGTAAACTCAAAGGTAAAGATCTTTCTATTTGTATTTATTATATTGAATAAGTTAAAGAGTATTATAGTTTT